AAGTGAATCAGTTATACATATACATATGTTCCCATATCTCTTCCCTCGTGTCTCCCTCCCTCCCACCCTCCCTATCCCACCCCTCCAGGTGGTCACAAAGCACCGAGCTGATCTCTCTGTGCTATGCGGCTGCTTCCCACTAGCTATCTACCTTACGTTTGGTAGTGTATATATGTCCATGCCACTCTCTCGCTTTGTCACAGCTTACCCTTCACCCTCCCCATATCCTCAAGTCCATTCTCTAGTAGGTCTGGGTCTTTATTCCTGTCTTACCACTAGGTTCTTCATGACAGTTTTTTTTTTCTTAAATTCCATATATATGTGTTAGCATACGGTATTTGTCTCTCACTTTCTGACTTACTTCTCTCTGTATGACAGACTCTAGGTCTATCCACCTCATTACAAATAGCTCAATTTTGTTTCTTTTTAAGGCTGAGTAATATTCCATTGTATATATGTGCCACATCTTCTTTATCCACTCATCCGATGATGGACACTTAGGTTGTTTCCATCTCTGGGCTATTGTAAATAGAACTGCAATGAACATTTTGGTACATGACTCTTTTTGAATTATGGTTTTCTCAGGGTATAGGCCCAGTAGTGGGATTGCTGGGTCATATGGTAGTTCTATTTGTAGTTTTTTTAAGGAACCTCCATACTGTTCTCCACAGTGGCTGTATCAATTTACATTCCCACCAACAGTGCAAGAGGGTTCCCTTTTCTCCACACCCTCTCCAGCATTTATTGTTTCTAGATTTTTTGATGATGGCCATTCTCACTGGTGTGAGATGATATCTCATTGTAGTTTTGATTTGCATTTCTCTAATGATTAGTGATGTTGAGCATTCTTTCATGTGTTTGTTGGCAGTCTGTATATCTTCTTTGGAGAAATGTCTATTTAGGTCTTCTGCCGATTTTTGGATTGGGTTGTTTGTTTTTTTGTTATTAAGCTGCATGAGCTGCTTATAAATTTTGGAGATTAATCCTTTGTCAGTTGCTTCATTTGCAAATATTTTCTCCCATTCTGAGGGTTGTCTTTTTGTCTTGTTTATGGTTCCCTTTGCTGTGCAAAAGCTTTGAAGTTTCATTAGGTCCCATTTGTTTATTTTTGTTTTTATTTCCATTTCTTTAGTACGTGGGTGAAAAAGGATCTTGCTGTGATTTATGTCATAGAGTGTCCTGCCTATGTTTTCCTCCATATTAACAAACTGAAGGAGAAAAACCATACGATCATCTCAATAGATGCAGAGAAAGCTTTTGACAAAATTCAACAACCATTTATGATAAAAACCCTCCAGAAAGTAGGCATAGAGGGAACTTTCCTCAACATAATAAAGGCCATATATGACAAATCCACAGCCAACATCGTCCTCAATGGTGAAAAACTGAAAGCATTTCCACTAAGATCAGGAATAAGACAAGGTTGCCCACTCTCACCACTCTTATTCAACATAGTTTTGGAAGTTTTAGCCACAGCAATCAGAGAAGAAAAGGAAATAAAAGGAATCCAAATCGGAAAAGAAAAAGTAAAGCTGTCACTGTTTGCAGATGACATGATACTATACATAGAGAATCCTAAAGATGCTACCAGAAAACTACTAGAGCTAATCAATGAATTTCGTAAAGTAGCAGGATACAAAATTAATGCACAGAAATCTCTGGCATTCCTATACACTAAGGATGAAAAATCTGAAAGTGAAATCAAGAAAACACTCCCATTTACCATTGCAACAAAAAGGATAAAATATCTAGGAATAAACCTACCTAAGGAGACAAAAGACCTGTATGCAGAAAATTATAAAACACTGATGAAAGATATTAAAGATGATACAAATAGATGGAGAGATATACCATGTTCTTGGATTGGAAGAATGAACACTGTGAAAATGAGTCTACTACAGAAAGCAATATACAGATTCAATGCAATCCCTATCAAACTACCACTGGCATTTTTCACAGAACTAGATCAAAAAATTTCACAATTTGTATGGAAACACACAAGACCCCGAATAGCCAAAGCAATCTTGAGAACGAAAAACGGAGCTGGAGGAATCAGGCTCCCTGACTTCAGACTATACTACAAAGCTACAGTAATCAAGACAGTATGGTACTGGCACAAAAACAGAAAGATAGATCAATGGAACAGGATAGAAAGCCCAGAGATAAACCCAAGCATATATGGTCACCTTATCTTTGATAAAGGAGGCAGGAAGGTACAGTGGAGAAAGGACAGCCTCTTCAATAAGTGGTGCTGGGAAAACTGGACAGGTACATGTAAAAGTATGAGATTAGATCCTCCCTGACACTGTACACAAAGGTAAGCTCAGAATGGATTAAAGACCTAAATGTAAGGTTTTATTTATTTTTTAACTAAGAAGCAAGAAGGAAAAATCAGAAAGCAAGTCAGTTAAAATGCTACAGTATTTTAATGTACCAGAGCTACATGCAGGATGTATTTGCCTTAAGTTTTCTCTAGAGTAACTACATATATTTATGGAAATCACAATATGGTGGGAAAAGAATAACTTAAGTAATCAGAAGGCAATTCATAATTTTTAGCAGACAACCTATAAATGAAAAATATATACAACTCAGCTCTTTTGTGATTTATAAGTCACAGGCTGAATAGGGCCACATTATAAATATTTAAATGCAAAACATACAATAGGCTAACTTTTGAATATTTTATGAGATGTCACATTGAAATGTGGAGCTTAATGAATTAAACTTTGTTAACACAGGGATGTCTAAACATAAAATAACACTTGCTTGAGCTTTAATGCAATAAATTTTAATTGCATAATATGTTAAATACAAATGCAATAACCTCAGTGTATACACACATGGCATGCTGTGACCACTGTAGCCCAACTTGCTTCTACATAATCTTTACATGAAAATGTAGAGTACGAATGGATGTTTATAGACTATAAACTAGATCTGGAGATCATGAAAACAAAGGAAGCCATTTAGTACTCTCTTCTACATATTTTCATAGGTGTAAATTACTGTAGTTTGTGGAATACTAATTTAGAATCAACAAATCAACATAATTTCAAGAATTATTTTTATCATAGTCATTCCTGCCCAGAGTTTAAATTTTGAAGTGTTAATAGACTTAAAACAAGCAAAAAGAAAAAAACAGTAGTCCCTTGTCCCTGACCTCCAGCACCCCAATCCTGGTCTCCCACCCCAGTGAGAGATTTTTCCCAATCTTTTAGCTATTCTTATGGCAGATATCTCTATATTTCTAAAATCAGTAATACTCTTAGCTCTTGAATCATCCATTTTAAACAGACTGTTTGGTTCTGAATCCCAGCACCACCATTTACTAGCTCTGTGACCATAAACATCCTTTTTTAGGCCTCAGTTTCCTTGTCTATAAAACAAACACTAGAATCTACTACATAAGGCTATTATGAGGATTATATGATGCAAAATCCCATACATGTAATAATATCTTGCTCAAAATACAGTGATAACTTTTATTATTGTTATTGTTACCTTACGGTAGATGAGGATTTGAATTCTCTTAAAACATCCCTTTCTCCATCCTCCTAAAATAGTTATAGCATATTAGGTTTTTTTTGTTGAATTACGGTGTTTTCATCTTCATGTCTTTTTTATATTTGAGGCAGCTCCAGATTAATGAGACTCACTTTGTATCTTCATCAAAACAATTTGAGAGGCTGGCAAGCTAGCTAAAATGCTGGATCACTGGAATATTCTGGATGACTTTCAATGTGCCAAATTCGAAAGCACTGGGATTTCTGGACTAAGAGAAACTGAATTATAGAACTTTTACTGAAGTTTTAAAATTATTTTATTCAAATCTCTGTGAAACATACCACTACTGTAGTTATCATAATACATCTTTATTACTCACTTACCTTTTGTCTTCTGTTTTTATCATTTTCACAGCTAAGGATATTTATGGTGTTACACATTATATATTACAGTTTTTCTTTATATGTAATATTTTTCAGGATTTACACCATTGCTCTATCTACTGTTTCCCAGTGATTAATTAAAAATGAAAGCTTCTATTTAGAGTTTACAATTATAAGCAGTCCCTAAGTTGTGAGAAGTAACACAGTTTGCATACAGTAGATGGCAGAGATATGTTTAAAATTCTAAAAAACATTTTTGTAGTAGTTTATGCCCAGGAAAAACACAGTTGGTGAGTCGCAGTCTATTTTAACAAAGTACTGCAGTAAACTGGAGACATTTTAAAGGAAGAAAGAATAAGTCAGTTGTAATAATTATGAAGAATCACATTAATTCATTTTTATACCTCTTAATCTTAAAATGCAATATTTTCAGTCAGCCAATGAAATAAAATTAGATACTCCGTATGAAAAGATTCTCAAATTCTCCCTCATTAAATTTTAAGTTCTCTGAGGATAAGGAATATGTTTTTTTTACCTTGTATCACCATTGCCTAGGACAATGCCAAAGTAGTATAGGTACAGAGATGTTTCATTTATTTATTCAGTGTTTTATTCACTGAATAAATAAATTCAGCTTAACTTGGTCTCAGGTAGTTTACAAATGTTTGACAGTAAAACACCAAACACCATATTAACACAGCATTATTCTTTTCAGTATATAAAGCACACTAGTTTGTATATTACATTTTATGTTTTATTGATGGTGACATATAGCAAAACTTTAATATATATTAATTACCCATGGTCCCTTATAAACATTTAAAAGTTCTTTTTCACAAGCATAGTCATACTACAAAGTCATATCATAAGCTAAGTTTTTAGAAGACAATTAAAAAAATAAAATGCATTAAAGATATCATAAATCAAGATGAGATACTGAGATAACTCTGACTTTACACACTCTAATTACAATCAAATGTAGACCTTTCAAGAAGTTGATAATTCTGGGGAGGGAGCCCTTCAGGAAACATTTAGTTTTTACATAATTAATCGCCAGATTAGCATACCTGAAGTCTTATGTTCTTAAAAACCTCATTCAGAGTCCATAAATGCAAGCAGAAGATTATCAAGTATTCTTAGATGTAAAAACTTTCAAAAAATTTAAAGTATTCAGTTTGCCTTAATATATATTCCTTGAATTGAAAATTGTTGAGGTTTCCGAATACTATCTTTTCATGTCTTCACAGCCTGGATTTGATCTGATAATAAAAACCAAATAAAAAATTATCAGTCTCTACAGGGCAAAACCCATTCTCTAAAGTAATCCAAGACATATCCATAAGAACATGGTAGAAACCTATGTGTACGCTTTTTTCTTTTTAAAAGCACAATTCACACTATAGTTTGTATTTTTGTCATTGTACATGCACCTAATTAAAATCAACTAGTTCTACAAGGCTTGTATTTAAAAAAGCAGTTCCTTGCCTCATCCCCTCTTTCTCCTTTCACAGGCAACTACTTTCAACTCCCTTTTAGGTGATTACCTGTGTATCTCTAAATAATATGCTTTTATTATTACTTCTTGAAATATCAGTTCCTTCAATGTAATAAGGGGCTTCGGTTCTCACACACTTGTACACTGTTCTTCTGCCACGCTCATCATGTAACCAATACCCCCATTTCCCTAACACAGTGATGTAGTCATCAATAGGATGACTATATGAATGCTATTCACAGCTGAAATGAGTGATATACCCCAGTTACTTTTCCTTTCTTCTACTACATTTTGTTTTCCCTGCAGTTATTAATTGTTATTCATCCCCAACCCTGCTTTAGCTTTTTTTTTAATGTACTTAACATTAATTCAATCCCACTACTCTCACCCTGTTTCAACCTTTACTATTATGAAGCATAATATACAATTTCACTTTCTTGAAGAACTCTCCCTTAGTCTTGTGCAAAACTAATCTGAACCAGTTGTTCTCCATGTTTGCCCAGTTATTTTCATATGAGATCTTTCATTATCACTCTAGGATCTCCACTATCATCCTAGGGATTCCTTCCCAACTCTCTTGTGCAGATTTTCCTATTTCCCTTATTTTTTTTTCTTGTTGGTTTATTCTTTTGTTTTTGATCAGTACACCTCAGTGGCTACCTTAGTAAATGGTATAGAAAGTGAACTCTTCAGACTTTACATGGCTGAAGATGTCTTAATTATACAATTATAATACACTGATACCGCTGGCAAATATTATTTTCTCCTTAGATTATTCCAGGCATTGCTTCCAAGTGTTGCTGGTGAGAAGTCTGTTGCTACTTTGTTTCCTTATCCTCTAGATGAAACCTCTTATTTTCTTCTCAGGAAACTTGTAGAATCTTCCTCTGTCTTACAGTGTAGATTTTAATAATGATGCACCTTGGTGTGGGAATATTTTCATCCACTGCATTGGGCTCTCAAGGGGCCTTGCAACTAAAAACTCATCATTTAGTTCTGGAAAATACTGTTTGATGATTTATTTGATGACTTTCTCCCCTCTCTTTTCTCTGTTCTCTCTTTTAGAACTTCTTATTAGGTTACTGAGCCTCCTAAAATGACTCCTTACTTTATCTTTTCTTTCCATTCTTTGTCTTTTTTGTACCTTCTGAGAGATTGTCTCTCTTTTATCTTCTTTTTATTGAGTTTTCCATTTCTACTATTATTTTCCAAGAACTCATTTTTTTTGTTCTTTATTCTTTTTCAAGTAGTATTCTTGTCATATTCATGAAAGTAATACATTCGCCCTTATCTCTTTGAAGCTACTCTAATAGTTTTTTGAAATGTTCTCCCTAAATAGTCTTCTTCTAATCTGCTTTTTTTGTTTATGTTCCATAAGTCTAATGTTTTGATCTTCAAATACTTGGTGATCTTTTGCTATCTTCTCATATGTATGGGTGAACACTATAAAGCTGATTGGAATTTTGTTACATGTGTGAGGCTTGTCAAAAGTGATCTTCAGTCTAGTGTATCTAGCTAAGCCGTTTCCTTGAGAATTTCTGATGTTAATACCTTTAGGTCTTTTCTCTTAGTCTGGTCTGACTCCTCAAAGCTGACTTGCTATCTCCTACCTATTGCCAGTGTCTTCTAGGAGAAATAGGAGAAGGCAGAAGACGGTTATAACCTTCAGTATGAAACTTTCAGTTACTCCTCATTTTCAGGTCAGCATGCCAACATACAGTTGTGCTTGGTGTTCTCCAGTCCAGGGATACTATTTGACTCTCTGCAAAGAATGAAACTTCAATCTTCTTTTGGGGCAAGGATGTATAACTGTCTTCTCCTTTCTGTCTCACTTCATCCTTATTTCCAATTTCCATCAATTTCTGTGCCTTTGAGGGGATCTGCAATGTAAATTAGGATGCTTTCCAGCTTTCTCCAGTGCTAGCTTAGAATTCCGCTTTCTCAGGTCTGTTAAGTTATTCAACATTCATCAGATATTTGGCTTCCAAAATTTGGTTGCCATTTTTGTCGCTCCCATTCTTTTTGGGTTAAATGGCTTTAAACAAAAGTCTCTTTACTGTCAGTGAGATCTGAAGAGGGGATGAAACTAAGTGTGTGTTCAATCCTCAGTCTTTCATTGGAATACTCATATGCATAGTTTATAAAATTCTTATATTAAAACCTGGAAGCATTATTAACTTTTCACATACAGATAAAGTCATACAATGAATAAGTTTCATTAGTCACATGAGAGGATTTCATTTTATAAATATCTCTCTTTACCTCTGCAATGGTTTCTGTATATTCTCTGGTGGTTTTAAAAAATATTTCATAGTCTATTCATTGGTTCTTGTCTTTGGCTGTAGTGCATAGGTAATTATTGAGAATCCTTCCAAAAGAGAATGGAATCATGGCACAAAATCTGTCATTTAATGTTTTACCCACAATTTTTCAACCGTAAACTTAAAATAATAAGATTAAATTGGTCCACAATGAACCACAGGCCTTCTGGTTTATCATGCTAGGAAATTTCAGAATTTTGCAAGGAAAATGAAGAGATATAAGTTCAGAACATCCTTCACAGATTTACAGAAAAACTTTTGGCTAATAAGTTAACAGTTATAGGCACAGACTAGTCTCCTATATTTATTGCTACCTATTTTGCGGTATAGGTTTTCCCCTCTTTTCAAATCCAGAGAGACAGTTAGGAGCATCAAAAATGTAAACTATTTACTGTTACATAGAAATTATGAACAAAGGATCTCCTACTCAAAACCAAACTGATATACTTTTAAATCTACATACTAAGTTTCCTCCTCTACTAAATGGAGAAGTTAGGTAAAAGGGTAAATTTAACATTTTTTGAGTGCTTTCTTATGGTAGGCACTTTAACACATACAGTATTTCATTTAATCTGTATGGCAATTTTTGAAATTTTATTTTTTAATTTTACAGATGAAGAAACTTATTTTTATAAGATAATTAGAGACATTAGTTAATAATTAATAAGTAGTGGAATAAATCTGCTAGACTTGAAAGCCCAAGTGCTTTTTACTACTATTCCACGCTGCCCACATAAAATGGGGATACTACTACTTACTTTGCAGAGAATTGTTGTAAAGGTTACATAAAATAATATGGTAACTCAAGGGCACAAAAATTTTTCCTATAAAGTATCCTTCTTACAAAGACTTGGGAGGTAAGATGCAAAGATAATGGATCAGAAAAGTCAAAGACACAAAAATTAGGTAAGACCAGAGTTGGCAAGTGGCACTGTGATGTTGGATCGTTACTGACACCTAGTGGCCTCATTGTTACAGACAAAATACCCCCCCCCCCCAAAAAAAGAGATCTACAATTTAAAATTCAGATGACCATCAACCTATTTTCAGTAAGTTACTGTGCTTTGAATTACTATATTATGAGCAATTGTGGTGTTTCCATCCATGCTGTATCTCCACTGTGAACAATAATAAGCACTTGTAAAATAAGAAGTAAAGGTTGAAAATATGCTTCTAGTGTCTTCTCTGTAATGTTCCTCTGTAACCTATCTGTTTTATGTGGGAATCAGTCCCAGAGTGGTCACTTTGACCACTTCTTTGCACAGTCTAGGAAATGAAGTTGGTGTGTTCACAGAAAAATCCCACTAGCTCGTCTGAGAACTACTAGAGGTTCTCAGTTAAGTTTCACTTAATTGTAAAATAAACTAGAAGGTTCTTTGCAGTTTAATGGTAAATGTCATGATGACAACACGAAAGAGAAAAAAATACAATGTTCTGTGCAGTTACCTAAAACACCACATTTTACTAATAACACATAGAAATATTTATCAGATGTACATTTAGTACTTTGAACCAAAGAAATACTATGTCTCTTTATGTATGGACAAGCAGGCTACTCTTAGATCCACTATGACATACAGAAGAGAAAAAAACCCACAAATAACTGGAATTAAGAGGGTTGTGTAGAAGAAATTAAATTTATAGCCACAAGACTACGGCTAGAATTTATAATCTCTTGTTATTTCACCCTTGTTCAGGGCAGGGAGATTCTAATAGAAATCATCCTCAATTGTCTTGCTCAAAAATGGAAATTTTTTGGCCTGATCTTCAAGGGTCCTGTAATAAGAAGGACCTATAGAACTTGGTTTCATTCACATTCACATTTTGTTGCTCTCTGTGGGTCATTGTGCTTCAATCCATTCCTGTGTCTAGTAGACAATGTAACCTTAGGAAAAATGATATATCTTAATTTATGATAGCTATTGTGACGAATAACAAATAGAACTGTGATTACAAAACATTAATAGAATACCAGCATATATAATACTAAATATGAGTATTAAAAGTTGTAAAAACACGCCATGAATAAATGGAGCCACATATGGTGTATAGCATGATTCTTGAACGATACATGCCATGAAGATTTATTTTTAGTTATTGACAGTAAGGTCTAAAATTTGTCCCAAACTTCAAATGTGCTTCTATTACTAGATCTGACAGAAATTTGTTGCCATAAATTAAAATTATTTTCTAGAGATGTCATGCATGTTGATGTAAGCACTTTATTTAAATAAATCCTTTACAAAAATGTAATTGAAGTAAATGGAGCAAAGTATTGGATACTTACTGTATTGTTTTTTCTGATAGCAGAAATAAACGGAAACAAGAGGAAGAAAGGCAGTGATATAATAAAAATAAAATGTAAAGAAGGAAAGAAAACGTGAATGGAAGGGAAATAAATGCTGAAGATGCACAGTATTTTGTGATGTACCTTGAAGCCAGTCTACACCTTCTTGCAATCCTTCTCCTTTTATGGCATCACTAGCACTGCAATAAAATCCATAAAAAAAATCCATTTCATTACATCATAAAACTACAAGAATAAATACTTACAATTTTGCCATATAGCAAATTAATATATTCTACTAACATATCTGAGCAAAACTGGCTAAGCACTGAAACTGAATATATATAGGATATAAAAGTCTAAGTGTTCAGGAGCAAGACATGAGAAAATTTTTCATAATTTATATGGACATTTGGAAAAGTGTATCACTAAAAAGTTACTATTCTAGGAATATTACTCAGACTGGCATTAATGAAACATACACTTTGAGTTATTGTCCCAGTAGCGGAAAAGTGTTATGGAATACACCACCCTACCAGCCCCAATGATTCAACAGCATTTATTTATTAGAAATGCTATACTTCCGTTGTAATTTAGCCATAGGATGGAGTGACTTTATTTGACATGAAGTTTGATATCTAAAAGGCATAAACCTGTAATTGTAACTTTGGTAAACTAGTAGAATAAAAAAATTCCAGGAGATTTCAACCATAGTTTTTTATTTATTGGCTTCAAAAACCTGGATAGGTTGTTTAACTCTTCTGCCTTCAGTTTCTGCCTCTGTAAACTGGGGGAATATCACCATTGGCCTCAGGTGATTATTGTAAGAATTAAATATTTGAGATATGGATATAAAACACTGAACACAGGGTCTTTTCATTGTCTTTCCATTCTTGAGAGTAAACCTAAATCCTTACTGTGACATTATTTTATAAATAATAAAAACTTATATAAACTAAAATAATAAAATGCAGAAGATTTTTAGGGTATCAAATAATCCTTTTCAAAGACACAGACTAATAGCTTCTCATAACATGTTACTGATATAGTTATTTCCTTTCAAAATATAATCGTATAATAACAATTAGTATACATAATTAGATTTTCTGAATGATTAGGGTTCCTTTTAGTGTGCTGAAGCATGATTTTAAAATGTACTCAATTACCTTAAAGTTGTTAATTGGATTCTAATCAAAACAGAAATTAACAAGGAATTACTTGTTAGACTAAGAATATGACTTATCATAAAATTATTTTAAAATAGGAAGACAGAAACAAACAGCATAAGATACACAATTATTCAAAGCAAACTATGGATTACCTATATTAATGGCAAAACATCAGTAACTGAAATACTTATATCAAGTAAGATCAATGTATTGATTTTATCACAAACTTCTAGTCCCAAACAAGAGTACAGTACCATGAAGAAATCCTTCCCCGTTGGTGGAGGTGTCACTACCCTACTAAAAACCCTGCATCTTTTCCTAATAATTCCCAAATGTTTAAATTCTACCTTTCCTTTCAAATAAATCGTAAGACTTGTACTTGGAATAAAAGCCAAAGTCTTTACCATTTCCTACAAGGCCCTATGTGACATGGCCCCTGGTTATTTCTCAGTGGCCTCATCTACAATTTCCCCCTAGATCTCTGTTCCAGCCAGCATGGACTTCTTGCTGTTCCTAGAAAACACCGGGCACATTCTCATCCAAGAGGCTTTTCACTTGCTGGCCTCTCTATCTGGAAAGTTATTCCTTTAAACCTTTGTGTGAACTGCTCCCTGACTTCAATTAGATCTCAGAGAGGGACCACATCCATTATTCTTTCTCTTACTATTCTACTTCATTTTTTTTCATCCTCCCAACTGACATTTTATACATCTATTTACCTGTTTTATTATCTGTCTCCCTCACAAGATAGTAAAAAAGCAAATACGTACATATATCACACCAGGGACTTAGTCAAAGAGCACACTGAAAGAACAATAACACAATCAGACCTGAAAATCAGAGTTGACTATATGTTTAGTACACTGGTCAAAAATAAACCCCAAAATTTTTCCTTTAATTTTCCAGACTATATTTCTCTATGAGCTCTTCTTTACCGACCAAATTTACTTGTACCTAAGACAAGAGAGATGCAATATTTTATCTCTGCATCACTGAGTGCTACTTTCTTTCTCTAAAATTAACAGATAAATGTATTTTTAATTTCATACATGCTTTAAAAACATTGCAAAAGATAAAAACAAACTTAACAAGTGAAACACTAATTGGAACTTAGTGAGATGTCCAGTTTGAATTAAGGAGAAGTCAAAATTTTAGATAAATTCAAAAGAAAAACTTGGTATTCTTCTATAAGTTGTGTAATATAGAAACTGGCAATATGTTATAAGTCCATATCCTTTTAGCATCAGGTATTACTTTTTTCTCTCACTAAAAAATATTCAGGTGTCACAATAAATCTGTTAAAATTCAATTACTAATTATTTTAAGTAGAAAGAGATTTTTCCATTTGTAAAATTAATTTCTACTTCGAAATTAAGAGGACTGCATCTTTTACTAATTAGACCTATGTTTTGAATGTTGTACTTTCTATCCAAGCAATCACAACATTTAATGCAAAAATTAAAAATTATTCTACTTCAGATGTTATCAATTTAAGTATGATATACAAAAATACAAAGGTTCTATCTCAAGATATTTCTCTACCCCAAGTCCCTCCTTTCTTCACCAACCAAATACCACAAAACCTCAAATTCCAACTCAAGAATCATTTAGTAAACACTGACTTTTCCTCTGATTTCCAAAGTAAGGAGGGTTTTACTTGAGATATGAAGCCTTGGGTACAGAAAAGTTTCAAGGGCTTTCTCAAGCTCTTCTCTTTTCAGCACCAAGGTTAGCTCTTAAAGTTCTTCTCTGAGTTCTACCACTTCCTTGTTTTGTGTTCAGCCTTGCTCTATAGATATCTTCTTATAAAAAGGGGAAAAATGGCAAGAGAAGGATATCCTTCAGCACGGAGAGGTAAGCAGGTGGATAGAAGGAAGGTTAATTTAACATAAGGTAGTGGTAGGCTTTAAAATACTAATATATAACTTCTGGTTATCCTCGTTGGAATATTTCGGTAGAAAGGCACACTGGAGTTAAATATATTAGTAAGAAACTGCTTTCCAAATAAACAATGTATAATAATTTCAGACACTAATTATTTAAGAGTTCAACCTTATTAGTATGTCCAAATAATATTAATTTTTGCATTTCTATTTATTCATATCAACAAATACTTATTGTGTATCTACTAAGTAGCAGGTACCATTACTATTCTGGGGGTTACAGAGTAAACAAAATCAATGAAATCCCAGCTCTCATGGTACTAATGCACTAGTGTAGGAAGACAGACTATAAAACAAAAAATAAAAGAAGAAGGGGTCATATGGAAATACAAAAAGTAAAGCAAAGTAAGGAAAAAACAAGAGATGGGGGTAAGGTATAGTGATGTTTCAGAGTTATTAAGAGGGGTCTCTTTCCTGAAGGAACTGCAATAACAAGCAGGAAAATTATTTTAAAGAATGATTCCGACAATGCAAGTAACAAGTACAAACACCTTGAGGTGGGACTGTGGTTGGCTGATTCAATGTGCAGAAGGATATCAGTGTGGCTGAACTTGGGTGAGTAAGTGGGTTAAGTTGTTCTTTTAAAGAGTTGTTTTTATTTGTCTATCCCTGAAAAGATTTGAAAAGGTTTTAACAGTAATATATTAATGAATACCTGCAAGCCATGATTCTATAAAACAAAATCTTTACCTTACATCTTACCACTTATAAAGTGAGCTTGGAAAAAACCCTTAAAGTTTGGAGATTTTTTTCAGAATGATAAAATGAAAAGTAAATATAAAACTTTACCAAATATGCCATGGTTTATCTTTGATGTTCTCTAAACACAGCAATTGAGACACTTTTACAGATGTCACTGCATCTCTAAGATCCATTTTGTTCGCAAAGAATAAAATTGGTATTCGGCGGTGCTTAATATCTAAAAGAGAAAATAAGGCTATCATCACATTTCCAGCTTTTTGGGTTATTTTCTCCCAAATCCTTGAAACTGTAATCCAATGAAATTGTTTTCCAATCACTTCTTCCCATATCACACATACATAAACATTTAAAGACATATACTGTGAAGCATGTATTTGACTGACAGGAGAATTTTAAAAATACCTCTTCTTAAGATTATCTGCCCTCTGGTTGGAACTGTAAACTAAAGATGGATGAGGTGGGAGTGGGGGGCTCATTAAACAGTTACTGAACAGCACCTAGAAAAGGGTCAAACATTTTGCGTTTCATTTTTACTGTCAACAAAAAAAGAGGTCAACTTCAAACAGAAGTAGGAGTATAAAATGGATCCTGGTTTTATATTTTAGTTGCAGCATTATAAGTAACCTAGATACTTGAACAAGATGTTTTTACCTTGTTACAATTTGGGGAGCATTTTTTTTTACTTTTGAATACATAATACATTTAAATAGTTCAAAATTCAGAAGAGACAAAACTGTATGCAGCAAAAGAATCTCCTCCCTCCCACCTTTGTCCTAGTCCATACACCTGTCCTCCCTACAAGAGGCAACCCATATCATCATCTGTTTCTTGGCATCCTGGCATCTTTTTATGAATATTTTACATATTTGAAAACAATTATTATATATTATTCTTACAGCAGACTATTCTCATTATTTTACACCTTTTGCTTTTCACTTAATTTCATAGCTTGGAGATTATCCCATATCAGTACATACAGGGAGCAGTTTCATCATTATTTTAACAGTTGTGAATGTCCTGTCTTTCAGTACTACGTACCATAATTTATGTATCTAGTACCCAACTGAGATATATTTGTGTTGTTGCCAATATTTACAACTATAAGCAATGTTATAATGAATAAACTTGTACATACAAAAATTTGTACAGGGGCCAGAACATCTATAGGATAAATTTGAGAAGTGGAGTTGCTGGGTCAAAGGATATGTAAATTTCTAATTTAAAAATTCTCCCATAGTTTCTTCCACTGCTGTAATAGTGTAATTTTTATATTTAAATATTTAGTCTAGCTGGAATTTATCCTGGAGCAGAGAATTTCAGAGTAGATAAAAAAGTAAGATACGAAGTAAGATATGAAGTTTACAAGAAGCACACTTTGAACATAAGGACACAAACAAGTTGAAAGTAAAAGGCTTGCAAAACATATTATGCATATGCTTAGGTGTAAGAGAGCTGGCATGGCTACACCAATATCAGACAAAGTAGTATTCAATATACAAAGGGTATTAGCAAAGAAAAAGAAAGGCATTTAAAAATTATAAAAAGGTGAATCAATCAAGAAAACAAAACAATTTTAAGTGTGTATCTAAGAGACAAGCTTCCAAATACATAAAGCAAAATTTGAGAAAATTAAAGGGAAATCAAATAAATTCACAATCATAGTGGACACTTCAACACCCCTCTTTTAGAAATTGATAGACAAGTAGACAAAAAAAAAATCAATAAGATTGTGGGAGATGTGTGATTGTTTTCCACAGGACTGAATGAGGAAGCAACTTTGGGTGGCGTCTGTGGGAGGAAAAGGCTCCCTGTCCACACCCCCTGACATCTGATGCCTGGCTGTGCTGCTGCTTGTTCCAGATGATTATCTTAAACCGCAGCACAGAGCCTTCATTTCCCGGACTGTCCCCAGGCAGTTTATTCTCTACTCTCTCAGGTGCAAAATGGAGTTCACTTCCTCTCATGGGCACACCAAAATCACAACTGTTTGCAGAATAGCCATCAATGAAAAAGACCAGAATATATCAGAAAGGATATTCTACAACTAAATACATAAAGAAGGAATCACAATGCGATGGGTAGGAGAGGTGGAGTAGAGATATAGTCAAATCCCATACCCCTGGGTAGGCGAGCCACAAATGAGTGAATAATTATAACTGCAGAGGTTCTCCCAAAGGAGGGACAGATCTGAGCCCCATGCTAGGCACCTGAGCCCAGGGGTCCTGCACTGGGAAGATGAATCCCCAGAGCATTTGTCTTTGGAGGCCAGCAGGGCTCACTTTTGGGAGACCCAGAGAACTGGGGGAAATAGAGACTTTACTCTTAAAGGGTGCACACAAACTCTCATGGGCTTCAGGACTCTGGGCAGAAGCAGTAATTTGATAGGAACCTGGGCCAGACCTACTTGCTGATCTTGGAGAGGTAAAGCTCACCCTGGGGACAAAGACACCGGAGGCAGCCATTTTGGGGAACTCGTTGTACCACGTGGACACTGGTACCAGTAAGCTCATTTTGGAATCCTTCTATACCTTATCCCAGCCTTGCCCTGGCCAGACCCCTGCTCTGGGACTGGCTGGGCCCTGGCCCTGCCCACTAGCGGGTGAACACAAGCTTCAAGACACCCTGGGCCCCATACCCAACTGTGTCAGGAACCAGCCCCACCCACCAGCGATTCAACACCTGCTATGGGACCCCTGGGCCCCATACCCAACTGTGTCAGGAACCGGCCCCACCCACCAGCGACTCGACACCTGCTATGGGACCCCTGGGCCCTGCAACCAGAACCCAGGACTTGGCTCTGCCTATCAGTAGGCCAGCACTAGCTCCAGGACGTGGCTTCAGCCACCAGTGGGCAGGCAACAGCCCCAGGATCTCCTGGACCCTGACTCCGCCCACCAGTAAACCAGCTGTAGCCCTAGGGCCTCTTGAGTTTATGCAGTCAGCTACCTCGAGAGCTGATCCTGCCAACCAGTGGCCATCAGCCTCCACACAAAGCAGGACCTGGCAACCAATGAACCAGGAGCCAACCAGGCCTACGAAACTACCCACACAGTTAGCCCGACACAACAGAAGGACCCACACAGCCTCATGGGGGGGATCCCCTAGAGCATACAGCTCTGGTGACAAGAGAGGAGTGTACTGTTGAGACATGAGACATCTCTTACAAAAGGCCACTTCTTCAAGGTTGGTGAATATAACCAACCTATCAGATACACAAAAATAAAAACAGAAAGTTAGGGAAAATGAAGTGACAGAACAACATGTTCCAAACAAAAGAACAAAATAAAACTGCAAAAGAAGAACTAAGTGAAGTGGAGCAAGGAAGTCTACTTGAGAAGGAGCTTAGGGTAGTGATTATAAAGATGATCAAAGAACTCAGGAGAAGAACGGATGCACAGAGAGAGAAATCAGAAGTTTTTAACAAAGAGTTACAAAATATAAAGAACAACCAGAGATGAAGAATACAATAACTGAAATGAAAAATACACTAGAAGGAATCAACGGTAGACTAAATGATACAGAGGAACAGATCAGCGGCCTGGAAGATAGAGTAGTGGAAACCACTGATGTGGAACAGAAAAAAGAAAACAGAATGAAAAAACATGAGAACAGTTTAAGAGACCTCTGTGACAACATCAAGCACACTAATATTTGCATTATGAGGGTACCAGAAAAAGAAGAGATAGAGAAAAGGTCTGAGAACATATTTGAAGGCCTAATAGCTGAAAAACTTCCCTAACCTGGGAAAGGAAACAGACATTCAAGTCCAGGAAATACAAAGTTCCATACATGACTAACTGAAAGAAGAGCACACCAAGACATTGTAATTAAAATGGCAAAAATTAAAGATAAAGAGAGAATATTAAAAGCAGCAAGAGACAAGCAATGAGTAACATACAGCAGAAGTCCCATAGGGCCATCAGCTAACTTTTCAGCAGAAACTCTGAAGGCTAGAAAGGAGTGGCAGGATATATTTAAAGTGATAAGGTGAAAGACCTACAACCAAGAATATTCCACCCTGTAAAGTTCTCATTCAGATCTGATGGAGAAATCAAAAGTTTCACAAACAAGCAAAAGCTAAAAGAGTTCAGCACCACCAAAACAGCTTTACAAGAAATATTAAAGGAACTTCCCTAAGTGAACAAGAAAAAGACACAATGAGAAAGATGAAAAGCATGAATGGAAAAAGCTCATCAGTAAAGGCAAATGTATAGCAAAGATAAGAAACCATCTATGCACAAAGGTAGTAGAAGGTTAAAAGACAAAAGTAGTAAAATCATCTATATCCTCAATAAGCAGTTAAGGGATACACAAAACAATTAGATGCAAAATATGATATCAACAACAGTAATCACGAGGGGAGGAGAGTACAAATGCAGGCTTGTTAAAATGCATTTGAAAGTAAGATATCAGCAACTTAAAACAAATATACATATATGCATATACATACATACATATATATCTCATGATAACCACAAACCAAAAATCTATAATAGATATACACCCAAAAAAAGAAAAGGAGTCTAAATATAACACTAAAGAGAGTCATCAAATCACAAGAGAACAAAAGAAGAAAGGAACAAAAAAGAGATATGAAAATAACCTAAAACAATGAATAAAATGTCAATAAGAACATATATTATCAATAATTACTTTAAATGCAAATGACTTAAGTGCTCCACTCAAAAGACATAGAATGGCTGAATGGATACAAAAAGAAGACCTGTACATATGCTGCCTACAAGAGACTTACTTCAGATCTAAAGGCACACACAGGCTGAAAGTGAGGGAATGGAAAAAGGTATTCCATACAAAAATGGAAATCAAAACAAAGCAAGGAAAGCAACATTTATATCAGACAAAATAGACTTCAAAATGAAGACTGTTATAAGAGACAAAGAAGGACATTACATAATGACCAAGGAATCAATCCAAGGAGATATAACAATTGTAAATATGTATGCACCCGACATAGAAGCAGTTAAATACATAAAGCAAATATTGACAGATGTAAATATAGAAATTGACAGTAACACAATAATAGTAGGGGTCTTTAAGTGCCCCTTCCATCAATGGACAGATCATTCAGAAAGAAAGTCAATACGGAAACACTAGCCTTAAAAGACACATTAGATCAATGCACTTAATAGATATATACACGACATTCCACCCAAAAGCAGGAGAATACACATTCTTTTCAAGTACACAAGAAACATT